AACAGTAAAGGATTTTATAAAATGTATTATTGTTTCCTTCATGCAATCCCCTATAAAAACTTTTGGACCATCCATTGGTTCTAAGCTCTTCTATTGTTTCAAACTTCTGGTAACTAAATCAACTTCCGATCTCTTCGATATCGTGATATTATTTTAAAGTAACCGCTTCAATTTTTTTCCATTTATAGAGAGAATTGTGTAGAGAGAAGTCTCCCTCAATTCCACATATCGTATGATAAAACTTATCTTTTCTTTTCCCAAATCTTCTCTCGAATTGAATGTGAACTGAATTTCCTTGAAAATAATTTTATATCCAACGAGCGAATTCTCAAAACTTGCTAAAAATCTCGGTGATTAATTACTAGAATTACATTTAAACTCGTTGTAAGACGTCGATTTAATCAGGAATTTCTCTGAATTAATTTTGTTTTGTTCGTTACATCTCCGTGTCTCTCTCTTCTCTGTTTCCTCGTGATGACAGAAACTAAACAATGTCTCTATTTAGGTGTTAAACTGCTCCTTTTTTTTATTAATAAATGGCATCTTTTTAAGTGTTAGAATCGTAAAGAAAACTCCACGTAATGGAGAGGTTCGAACCCACGACCATTTTAGCCACTCTAAAGTATGCCAATGATGCTAATGAAGTACTGTTTCAGAACTGTAAAAAAAGGGGTGCCTCCTTAGGTACTTTTATGATAAAATGGTCCTCTATTTAGGTGTTAAAAACCTGTTTTATCCACTTTAAAGGATACCATATACCATCGTAAATGTAGAATATCTATTCTATCATCTTCATCATCATCTCGCTGAACTCCTTTTACACGGTAGCAATATAAACAGAATTAATTATTTAAGCATAAGGTATACTTTAAAATTTCATATATCGATCCATGCCAATCAAGCTTAAGAGAAATTCCTTACAAGTAGTAATTCTAGTGTCGAAAATCCTTAGTTTAATATGTAGACGTCCTTCAACATCTTCCTGTGTATATATAGAAAGTTAGAATAAGTTCGAAGTTATCTGTTCATTTCTGGATTTTATTGGTGAAGAGAATTTTATTATATTATATTAAATATTTAGAGTTCTGTATTATTGAATTTGAAGCTGCTAGACCACGCTGCTTCGTGTTGAGTTTCTTTTACTTTTTTTGTATTCCTCTTGCCATTCCTTTCTTTTTAACTCTAGTTTTCTCTATTCTTTTCGACTCAAATCATCTGGAAATTTGAAATTTGTGTGATTTAAAATCAAAATTAATTCAAAAAAACTTCAATCTTTAAGGTATAAAAGACAATTGCTTTACTTTATGCCAAGGGTATGCAAAGGATCTGCTTTATTTGCAAGGATGATGGCACCTTCCTAAAGAGATTTCTATAAGAAATTGGATTATATTTAAGTAAATATGTGAAGAAAATTCACGTTGATTAGGTTCGAACCCTCGACCATTGTTTAATGATTTTATCCACGCATCCATTGTGGCATGGCAATGAGGAGATTAAGAATTGGATGTAGAGACGGCTTGAAAAACACTCGTCAAAGGTGAGCAAAGGAGCATTCAAGAATGATGGCACCTTTAGGGAGTGATTTCTACAATAAACTGGCACCTATTTAGGCAAGTATGTGAAGAAAACCCTGAAAAAATCCACGTTGATTAGGTGGGAACCGTCGATGGTCTTATTCAAGCATCCGTGATGGCGGAGATTAAGAATTTCATATCGATTGAGACAGCCTGAAAAAAACTCTTTTAAGGCACACGAATACCCCAAAAAATAGTTGAAATTCAACAACATAGGAGGCGAGGCCTCTTAGTTCTAACGAGGAGGCCCTAACTCGAAATCGGATTACGTAGGTGTAATGCCCAGCTCTTAACTCCTCTGTAGGACCCAAAATAATAATAGAATTGTTAAAGTAACACCTTCCACGATTTGAAAGATGGCAGAAAACAATGGAGATCACGTGAATACGAGTCGACACACGTCGAGGGTGGAAAAAAAAACGCTTGTATGACGTCAAAAACAATGGCCAGACGGCTAATTTATTTTTACTTTAGGTGAGGATCGAGTGGGCTGTTTGCTAATAAGTAAACAACACCAGATAAATAAATATTTGACGTATAAACCGACACCCTTAAGAGCGGAAACTAAACATTCCATTGTCTTTTTTTGGGGGGTGGGCGTTTAATTTATTCTACGACCATTAACCTCTAGGAATTACCAGTTTGTTTTTAAGGTCTGCTAGCCTGAAAAATGGGTATTTTTGCTGGAAGATGTGTTAGATCTTCTGTCACAAACGTTCTACTCGATCGTTAAGCAGATGTCCGATAATATCTGCCACCTGCTTCACCGCAGCGATTTTAATATTGCATCACTCTATTCTATGGTATCATTAATTCGACGTAAACTAAAATGCGAAACACAGAAACAATGACATTCTTACAAGTCGATGTGTTTCCAGATCAATAGGGGATGAAAGTTGAATACGTCACCATCTTCTAAGAGAAGATCGGGATAACAGACACTTCCAAGATAATCCAGAAGCCACTTTCTCTATGGGGGAAGGGATTATAATTCAATTTTAAGAGCATCTATCACGTGGGGGGTTGCTTCTAAAGGCAGGATTAGTATTGTGTTTTTAAATTTAAATAACTGAATTATTGTTATTTTACGGGAAAATGTTTAGATGAAACACTAAAAAAAAAGAAAAAAAAAACACTGGAATTTCCATGGAAACGGAGGGATGTACTGTACTATACGGATTGCACTCGGGAGAGATATATCCTGTCATTCAGTTGATAAACACTTGGAAAATGTCGCGTTATTCCTTTACATTAATACAAAAAGAAAAAAAATATATATCCAAAATAGAAGATACTCCTAGTATTTTATTGTTAATCAAGTGTTTTCTATTGTTAATATAACGTAATTAATAAGATTAAATCGGTTAATTAAGTAAAAAACATCTTACGTATCCCCTTGTGTTTCTTAAGTAACTTCAAATCGAAACACTCTATTGTAATGTAAATGAACAAATTACGAATTGACTCTTGTGTGTGTGTGTTTACTTTTAAAAAATGAATATTCCACACAAGGAAAACACAAAAGAAATTTCGGGTGTTATTTTATATATTTACAATTTAATTCCCTGTAAAAGAAATTATGTATTATTGCTTATAACCTTTATGTAAACTCGTGTGTTTAGTGTTTTATTATTATTTTTTTTTTAGTGTATTGACACTGAAAATCTAGGTTAGATAGATATATAATTGAGGAAACACAGCGTAATCGAACGTTCCAGTGCCAAAATTTCCATTAGTTCCGAGCCAAGGAACATTTGGAACGACGTCAGAATTATACGGTGTCAATTTTGAATTACGTTTCCGGTTCCGGTATCAAAAAATCATCGTCAATTATTTGCCTGGAAAAGCAAGCAATTAATTAACCCTTTACGTCATCGGGTTTAAAGGTTAAAATATAGAAAGAGGGTTAAATCTACCCGGAAACTAACACGTGTTTCCGGTTAACAAAACACAATTTCTTAAGAAATTTTACGGAAATCGAACCCATCCGATCGCTAGATTACATTGTAGTCTACGTAACAATATACAATTTACCAGTCTATTGTTACGTATCCCCCTCTGTTACGTATACTGTAATTCCGGATCGAAATAATAGTGATTTTAGTAGAGTGCAGCACGGAACACGACGTAATACGTTACGTTTAAAAAAAGTATATATATATATATATATATATAATTACGTCTCAGTGCGTTACGGTAATAAAAGCCAATTTCGAACATTGTTACTATATAAAATCTCGAGTTACGAGCCGATAAATTAAAGCTAAAACAGAGAGAAGTCGCGTAACTTCTAAGCGATTTTGTCGTTACGTTACGCTATTTCGTTAAAATTAACTGGCGTAACACGTCTTTCGCTTTTATAATTAATCGATTGTAGTGTTTTGATGGCGATTTCTATCGTTTATATGTAATGACGTCGGTAAAAAATAGGAAAGGTCACGCGCCTTTCGTGAGTTGAGGGTAAGCTCTATATGCAAATAAGGGGGCGAGTTCGATAGCCACGTAATCATTCGATTCCTCTAGCTTCAAACCAAGCTAAAATCTTATTCGCTCAGCACGCTAACGTTTAATTAATGTGTAATTCGAGAGAAATCGTTAACACGCCACGTCATCGCCCCCCGGGTCCAGATGCAAATCGGGATCATCCTCCTCCTCCCCCTCAAATATGAAACGAGTAGGGATAATAATTATAATCCGGGTAGGAAGTTCAGGGTATTTTCAGACACGCGAAACGAGAGCCGTTACCAGGAAACGTGACGAAAGAGGGAGATATTTTTTCGTAAACACTTCGCCCGTGTTTTTCGAATATACAAAGGAAAATATTAAATCACGTTTGATATTTAGGGGGTTAAATTCGGGGGAGAAACACGCGAGTAGAAGGGCGAGCGACGTCAGATCGGCGGTTACGTTGTACGCGTTACGTTTTACAACGTAATTCCCGTATTAAAATAACAATTGATTATAATCTGAGTTACGTCATAAACAATCTTCGCAACGCAATCGATACAAATTGTTAACGTTTATTTACACCCCGAAGCGGCAGAGGAATTCCCCCGTTTCCGGGCCGTTTCAAGAGGAAACGGGGGGACGGAACCACCCCCGTCGCGCGGGTTTCGCCCCGGAACCGGAAGAGAAAAAAACGCTCCGAGCCTTCCGAGCCCGTAAAGGAACGGCCCGACTCCCGGCCCGCCGGAAGTGGGAAGAGTAAGCGGAAAGAAGGCGGTGGCCCCGCCGTTCCGGCCCGGAATTTGACTCCTGCCGGGAGCGGGGGGCGGGAAGAGAAGCGGGGGAAGGGCCCGGAGGGCCCGGGAGGGACGGGAGGGACGGCGGGCGCCCGGCTCCTCCGGCCGTCTGCCTCCACTCCCCCGAACGAATGCGAAGAGCCAGCAGGAGTAGCCGATTCTCCGTACAGTCGGAGGGCGACCATCGCGCCACTATCACGTCAGCGACAATGCGGAGACAACGCTAGCGACCGCGCCGAAGGAGTGGTGTGTGTGTGAGTGCGTGTTCACGTAGTCCCGGGGAATGACAGGACTGTCGGAGTAATGAGGACTGCGGGCTTCTCGGCCGTCTGGCTGTTGACGACGGCGTTGGTATTTCCAGGTGAGTCCGATTCCTCTGCCCCGCCGATCGATGCCCAAAATGGCCGATCGTCGGCGGAGGAGGACGAGCGGCCCGTCCGTCGCGCCGGCGCTTCTCCCACTCGGCACCGCGGAAAATTCCCTCGGACCCGTCCGCCTCCCCTCCGCGACGTGTGTGCCACCGGCCCGCACCCCCGCGCGGAAGGCTTCGCCCCGTCCGGCCCCCTCTCCCTCTTTTTTTTTTTTCTTTTAAATTTCTACCCCGGTCCCCGGCGCTCGCCGTCTCCGCCCGGTCACGGCCGTTTTCGGGCCTCTCCTACCCCCGCCTGGGCCCGGGCGCTCGGGGCCTCGACGGCGGCGGTTCGTTCGTCCCCGCCAAAGATGCCGGAGGATCGATAACTGCCTTCTTCCCGCATCCCGGTGTCGGAGACGGTGTCGGAATCCTCCCTTATTCTTTCCTCTTCCCGTCGTACCCCGCGTGCGGGCCGATCGGAAGATTCGGGCCCGAGAAGTAGCGCGCGCGGGCCGCCTGGCGTTCTCCGCCCCGCGCGCCGCTGCCGATCTGGAAACTAAGCCTTATCCGATTCTCCCCGCGGTAGGGAAATATCTTTGAGTTCCTCCGAAGGGTGATAGCTCGGGGAGCAAAGTTGTTTCTTCCCCCTTACCGGGGGCCTGGTTTGTGGCCTCCACCTTGGAGTTAAATGCTCTCCTCTGGACCGAGAAGCGGCGCGCGCGCTCAGGCCTCTTCCCCTTGAAAATGGACGAAAACGTTGATTTTCTAGAAAGCGTGGAGAATAATCGGAATTTTTCCCGGATAATTCGATCGAGGGGTGGAAAATGGGCGCGCGTGACCGACCCGTTTAATGGCGGACTATACGGGATTTTGTTTACCAATACTTTTGTAGGAACCGGGAGGAGGAGGAGGAGGAGGAGGAGGGATTATCTTCCTCCGATTACTCGGATCATCCTCGACGGATTTAATTATGCTCCGGTTAAAAATAGGAGGTCGATCGATACATCTCGGCGTCGCTTCTCGAGAAGTCACTCACTCCCCCCTCTTCTCCTCGCGAGATTTGCTACCAAAACTGCAGTTTCGGCCGCTCTCCCTCGCGCCGTCCGAATAGGATTCGAGAGGAAATTGCCGGATAAACGGGAATGCCGACCGGTTAAAAGAGAATGGGAGGCGTCGAACGGCGTCGGCGAAGGTAGCGGTGTGGCCCGACAATCGATACCGACGGCGTAAGAGCCGGGGTCGCGACCGGCGTCGACCGCGTAGCTCGCCACGCGCGCCGCTCCCATATTGCGTGACGTTTTGCGCCGTTAAATCGAGATTATCGGCCGGCGCACGCTCCGCCTGCGGGGTCACGAACCGCCGACGCCTTCGGCCGTGGCGCTCGGCCCAATTTATTTGTAATTTAATTATCGTCGGTTGCCAAACCCCCGACGGCGCGCCGAGCCGGCGCGGCGCTCGAGAGCGCGCGCGCGAAAGAGAGAGCGACAGGAGGAATTAACGAGAAATTGGTGTGGTTCCTTTCAGCGAACTGTTCCGAAGACGAAGAGAGACTGGTCAGAGATCTGTTTCGCGACTACAACAAGCTCATCAGGCCCGTGGAAGTGATGAAAGAGACGGTGGAAGTGCAATTTGGTCTGTCTTTCATTCAGCTCATCAATGTGGTAAGTCCACCCCTGCCTGTCGCGTCGTGCGCGCCGGAAGCGGAAGATCTTTCCACTTCCTTCCGCCGCCGGAAGTGACGGAAATGAGCCGGCGCGGGGTATCGGTAACCCTCTACCCCCCGACGGGACGTCACGCCCGGTTCCGGTCCGAACCGAGTTCGCCTTTTGGACCGGGGCCAAAAAAGGAAGGATCCGACTAAACTCGACTTTTTTTTTTGTTTTTTTTTCTTTTCTTTTACCTTATTCTTGGGGGGGAAGTGGAAACAATCGATTTCCTACCCCCGTCTACTATTATCCGTCTACGCGCGCCACCGATACCAGCAGTATTGCGTTACGGACAGACAACGGTTTGGGATCTTCCTTTTCCCTCTTCTTATACGTCACTTAAACGTCACTTCCTTTTTGTCACCACCTCATAATTCGTCTCGGTATTACCCGTTTTACAGGCGACAAGACACTACCTTCGAGTAAACAGAACGACTTAATTTTCTATAGTAACTTCGCGTAACTCTTACATTATACACTATAAAGACAGGTGACGATCTGGTTACGTCTTTACTAGCAAACTTTCCTTTCTTTTTATTACAAAAGTATATTAACTCGGGTGGGAAAATCTAGGTATTATTTACACACTTCTAACAGCGGGTGCCGAAGAAAAGCACGCGCTGTAATTAAATAAAACCGAAAATTGGGTGTAAAATTGGTCCCATTCGAATTCACAGCCGTCACAGAAAGTGTCAACCGAAGAAAATACACTCGTCCTGTATATTTTCACCCCTTTTCGTACCCGAAATTGTAAACAAAAAAAACAGTAAAATTTGTTGGACAATATAAAAGAGCCTACAAACGTCACCCATTGACTAAACACAATAAATAATTAATACGTGTGCGTGAATAAACGAATATTCTCGAGATTTAGGTTAATTGTTAATCGTAAATTCGTAATTTTCATTGTGTATAAGTATAAATAAACAAGGGAAATCACTCCATCCTATAAGAAAACAATAGAAAACTACTCGCATCACTTCAGCAATAATTAGTCAAGATTTTCATTGTTTCCCATTACACAGTTTAATTGACAACACTGTAAACGATTGTCTCTCTCTCTCTCTCTCTCCTCTCTCTCTCGCGTAACCCTCTGTCGAATATAGAAGGGGGGATAGTCGCATCGGTTACGCAAATTATCGTGTGGTAGAAGACGAATTTACATAGAAAATGGCGAGGTTTTTTTGTGTGTGTGTAACGGACGAGGGCGAAAATTTGTCGCCTGTCGTGTACAAAACTCTCTTTTATATTCGGGAGTTAATCTTTTATTTACAATGGCATTACACGAACACTCCGCGGCGCATCATTTTTTTATTACGACGAGTAATTGTCCGACCGTATCGATCGTAACTTTTCCTAGTTTCGTAACATCTTGAATATTTATGAACGTCGAATCGGTTACGCTCTTTACAAACGTGTGTTCGGAGGAGGGAGGGAGGGGGGTGGACGTGGACCTTGTATTATTTCCCTGTGAAAGAGTTACGCTTTCGTCTTACTTAAAAACGGGGATGTGTTACGATCATCCGGGAAAGGGGGTAGGCGAATTACTATTATGTTTTTCTCGTGTATATCAAGCGACTGTACAGTACAGTTCTATATAATACACGTACAGATACGTATATTATTCATGCTGCAAGTGTACTAACGAAGTTACGTTCGGTTCGTCCATGCAAATTTCATATCCCTGCTAAACGTGACGCTATTACCTAGTAAATAAGTCATAAATAATTTTTAAAAAAGTCGCGAGTAGTGTGTAATTACCCTCCCTCTTTTTTCGACTAGTAATTAACGGGGGGGTGAACGTGCGGGGTGAAGTTATTATTATATTATATACGAAAGTTTAATGGAGCATTTTTGCGTAGATTCAACCCGTTTAACACTTGGACGATATGAATTTTAATAACCAAGAGTTATTTGTATGTTTTGCCCCCTTTCTTCGCGTGGAATTACGCGGAATTTTATGAAGGACTTAAGACACCTCGTATAATTTAATACATGCTCTCTACCGGTGTTTACGTCGTGTAAATGAGTCACAGATACGTACTGTATTTCTTACGTTTGTTTGTCGTATGGTTTATCGAGTTTATACGCATTTAACTAATGGATATTGTACGAGTAAAGTGTGGAATTATTCCTAGTGTCTTTATTTATCTTCCCTTATTAAAGAATAGAATGGCAAACACTTTCTAAATGATAATTCTTCTCTCGAATGCTATTGTATTTGAATGAAAGGGAGAGGATATTTATTCTAGTTAATAGGCGCAACGTAGGAAATTCCTAAAGAATAGATTTTTCTCTGTACAAAATACAATAGTTTTCTTTTATATTCGAGTGTTTTACTTATTCAGCCGACTTTTTCCGGTTTCTAATTAATAAATTACACTGTCTTTCCGGTGTTTTATACAATACTACTGACAGGTTTACACTAGGAACTTTAACGTTTAAATATATACTACGATTAGGTTTTTGTATCCCCTTAGGTGGTAACGTGTTAAACAGTCGGGGGTGGATGACGACGGATGATTTATCTACGACACTTCTCTACTGTAACACGTTTTCGAACCGTTCGGAATGACGACGACGACGACGTCTCGTGGAATGTTAATGTATATTTTTGCATACCTTCAACCCTTTTTTTACTCGATTTTAAACCCCTCTACTTCAATGGAGGGTGAGGATTTCTATTGTAAAAGTTGCTGGAACAATTATAATGTGGGTGATTGTTTTGTTTCCGTTAAACACTGTCGTAAGTTCTTCCCTCGCCGAGGAGTAGGCCACAATTCTCCACTTTTCTAACACCTAAATAGGGGTCAGTTTCCTTTTAAGCCCTATTTTTGTTTAGAAACAGTGAGGATGACTCTATGTTTGCAGTATTTAAACAGTGACCGTGCCAAAGTAACTACTTATTACATAAAAAACCCAATGGATAGTGGCCTTTTATAGGTGAATGGTTTCCTCTGGAGGGGTGCAAACTCTTAAACAATTGTCGCAAACGTGTAAACGGAGGAGAAGGAAGATTGGGGATGGATTCTAGTTCATGTTAAACCGAAAAAAACACTCCCAAATTTTAAATCTTTCACAGAAATGGGAGCAGAGACCATCGATTGGGGTCTATCACGTGCTACATGACACTAATTCGGGATTTAGTACCAAGATTATTGCATTTATCCGCGTAGGAGCATCTTTGAGAACGTCGTTAGGATTTTATGTTGGCATCAAAGCCGGTGACGGCAAACATCAACAGCAAATACGGTTACGAAACGTAACGTAGTCGAAAGAGCGTAGAGATCCGGAAAAGATCCTCAACCCGTCTAGCGGTAAATCGAGATAGAGAGATTTTAAAGGAGGAGGAGGAGGAGGGGGGAGATTTTGTAGCGCGTGGCATCAGATCTCACTTATTTTTCTTCATTTACATATTTTAGTAGGAGAGGAATTTACGTAATAGCTTTCATACGTTTCGATGTAAGGTGGGCATTAACTTGTACTTAGGAAAGAACGTGATCGAATTTTCCAAGATCCTTCTCTTTACTAATAAATTAAAGAGGGATTTAAGAGGTTGCGGGAGTAAAAGTAAAAGTAAAAAAAAACTTCTTTAACCTTTAGCGATTCCGATTTAAAATTTCGCTTCGATAAGCTAAACGTTACTTTCCCGCTAGGTGATAAAATGTCGCTTTTATTGGGAAAAGAATATGGCGCGTGTAGAACGATTGACCCGAGATTTTCAGAATAAATGTTGGGGAATTTTTAGCGCTCGAATTTCCCGTTCGGAGGGGCGATTTCGGTGGCCGAAAGACATACAAATACTTTGATCCGAGCGCGATTTCGTGCGATAGAAATCGATAGGGATCCGGATTTTCTGCAACAAATCCTCTTTTTTCTGTCCGGGACTCTTTTAGATCCGGGAAAGAAATTCCACTTTTTTTTTTCATTCTCTCTCCCTTTCCTTCCAACGCAATTTCTGCCACCGATTCGGTTTTCGCTTTCCACAAAACACTACTTCACTCGATACTAGTTTTTCAGTCTCTTCTATTATCGTCTTCTTCTCACTGTAGATTTAATGTAGGAGTTTTTAAAGTTTATTTTTTAATTAAATTTCGTGTTAAAATATTAAATGTTAACGAGTTTTTTTAAAGTGTAAATTCGTAATTATTGCCGAATTTACGGTTATAAATTCCGAAATATCATGCTGTAAATTTCAAAAGTCGTGCTGAAAATGCAGAAATTTTGCTGAAAATCGAGCTGATAACTCAGAAATTGTGCTGAAAATTTAAAAATTGTGCTGGAAATGAAGCTGAAAATTCAGAAACTGTGCTGAAAATTTAAAAATTGCGCTGAAAATCGAGCTGAGAATTCGGAAANCCTAAGAAGGACTTTCTACGGGGTACCTCTCTTGGAGAGGAAGATGCTAAAGAGGGCCTTTTAGAAGGACTTTCTATGGAGTACCCTTTTTGGTAGATGCCAAAGATGTATTTCTCAGAAGGACTTTCTATGGATAAGTGCTCCCTATTAAAGTGTTAGACCCGTGAAGTAAACCCGAAAAACTCCATGTTGGTCAGGCACGAACCCGTGACAAACTGCTAGTGTTTTATCCACTTAGTCACTAGTGGGCACTTCTGTAAACTTTACTAAACTCGATACGTCTTTTATGCCCTTAATTTCTAGCGAGTGTAAGTTTTCAAAAAAAAATCTTTTAAAGGAATTCGATGAGTGTTGCACCTTTCTAAAATCAGAAAAACCTTTCGTGCACTCGAAAAAAAACGTACAAAATTTCGATTCTATCGATATTCGTTCGCTTAGAACTTCACATTTTCGATTCGACACCGAAAAAAAAACACACACACACACAGGAAACTCTCAATTCTTTTTGAAGAATAATATCAAAATAATGCCTACTTTTATTTATTTCTAATAAAACTAACAGAAACGACGGACGAATAAAAGCTTCGATCACATTCATTTTAACAGTTCAATTCTAAATGGGAGTATTGAGAAGAGCCCAAAGTTTCAATATATAGAAATTAAAGAGGCAACGTATTCTACTTACCATACTATTTCTATAAGAAAGTAATAGAGAGCCTCCCGGATCCTCATTGTAAATTGACGAACCCACAGTGGGCACGAAAAGAGTGCCCTCTTAGTGCCCGTA